AAGAACAGTTTAGTGGATACCAGGGGAAAGGTGGGGTGGGGGGTGGGCACAAAGGGTGAAGTGGTGCACCTACAACACGAATGACAAACATTAACGTACAACTGAAATTTCACAAGATTGTAACCTATCATTAACTCAATTAAAAAAAAAAAAAAGAAAGAAGGCTTTGCTTGTCACTGTCACTCAGGGACCCAGATGGACACAGTAGCAGTGAATACTGTTACTTCCCCTTGTCAGAGTGAATTCACCAGCCAGCTCTTTAAAGCTTCTTCCCAAAGCAAGTCTCATGGCCACACTTAATTTCAAGTGGGCAGAGATGTATAATCCTACCTTGTGCCAAGGAGAAAGAAGGAAAATATTTGTTAACAGCTCTAATCACTACTATACCTGGGAGGTCTGAGGAAACACCTTTGATTACTGTTGTATACCTTTTTTATTGTTTGACCAGTTTGCAAAGAGTATATGCTACTTTCTCATTTAAAAACACACTCCACACAGAATTTTAAATTTGTCCAAAGATGAAGTTTCATACTTCAGACTACAGGGCTAAAACTGAGGAAATACTATTGTCTAAATACAGTAACCATAACTGCAAGTTCACTTTTAAGAGTTGGTAATAAATTTTTGTTTAAAAAATGTTGTATCTGCAAGGCTAATGTAACAAAGTAACATCAAATTCCACAAAAGGTTTTTAGTTTTTCTATTAAGCTACAGAGATTATTCTAATAAACTGGCAATGATCCATTTCTTCACTGGCCTTAAAAGTCTCTTTTGGTCCTCAGAATAAATGTTGAATGCGCAAATCAAGTATTAATAACTTCAATTTACAGAAAAGGAAATTGCAGTTTGGACTACACAGCACTTAATTGGGCCATGATTTTTTTCCAACATTTTATTTTAAAAAATTCAAACATAAAGAACAGTGGAAGAAACTTCTCAGTGAGTACTCATAAAGTCAACACTTAGATTCTATATTTAACATTTTGCTGTATTTGCCTCATCACATATCTATACATCTATCCATCAATTGATCTTATTTTTTATTAATTTCCAAGTAAGTTACAGACAGAAGTATACTTCACCCCTAAACGTCTTACTGGAGTTCAATATTTGTTTATATTCTATATTTTTAAAGTTAAGTTATACAGTAAAGTGCATAAGTGTACACCTGGGTAAGTTCTGATAAGTGCATTCAAAACATGTAACCAAAATTTCTATCAAGATTTATAACACTTCCATCATCCCAGAAAGTTCCCTCACATTGGGCCTTAATTTGAACACAAGATCTCCCTCCAAAGTCCATTGTTTTTTCACAACACTATGCTACTTCTTTTCAAAAGGCTTCAAGTGTTAATATATTAAACATTAAGAACTTTCTCACCCCCAATAATTAAGGTAGTTGAAATATAGAAATACAAAAGGAAGAAAATACGAGAGATACCCTCCACCAAAACCAGACAGCCTAGGTATCTAATATCTACAGCAAGTTGACTGTTATCACCTTTCCTCCACCAACTCTCATTAAATAAACAAAAACTTCTACTTTCCTCCTCAAGAGTTCAAGAGTTAATCTGGGAGGAATAGGTGTGACAATAATAACCATCTCATATATTCATCTCTTGTATCTGCAATTAAACTAAGAGGTGCTTTGGGCAAGACCATTTCTTATGCTTGTGAGGCAAGCACTAGGTTAAGTGCTATGTCCTTTAGTGGTTACTAGGAAAGGCAGTGGGGAACTGGAGAAAAAGCAAAAGCTTTGGAATCAGCCAAATCTGGGTTCAAATCTCTTCATATTTATTAGCCATATAACCACATACAAATTACTTAATTTCCTTAAAATGAGGCCTATATTTTGCCTTCCTTTCAATGTCAGGTTTCCCAAATAAACGACTTACATGTAAGACTCAAGCAAGAGAAGCCTCTACCCTGGACCTCAAACTTTAGTGGGAATTGCTCTGGTCCTCTTCCAGCCACATGCCTCCACACAGGGTGCAGACATCTTGAGGTCAAGAGGACGTGCACATCATGAGGCCACACCTCTGCCATAGACTATGCTCTGGGCAATCTAGTCCCAGGAATTTCTTGCCCAAATAGCAGCGAGCTTGGCTTCCAAGGTTGGCAAGGACTTATTCCCTGGGTCTCCCTTCCTGAGGGAGTATGGGTGGAGCAGAAATATGAAGACTGGGGGGGCGGTTCAAACATCTGTGTAAAGCCACTCTTCAGAGTACAGAATGCTATGCAGGGTGGGAAGACATACAGGTTTAAGTTCAGAAGGTGGTGAAGCCTTGGCCCATGTAGACACATTCTGGCAATGTAACTTAGTTCAAATCTAAACTTCAAGGTCCATATGAAGGTTTACTTGCCAAAGCAGAAGGATAAAATATATTTTATGCAATAGTTTGTTAATTTAACTTATACAGATATGGTATGTGGATCTTCATTTATAATTGCTCCAGACTCCGCAAATGTTACAAACGGGCCTGTGTGCTGTTAGTTGTTAGTGCCTTTCAGTCAAATCCAACTCTTAGTGACCCCATGTACAGCAGAGTGGAATCCTGTCCAGTCTTTCTATCTCCCCCTCTCACCTTCCAGCACTGTATCAGACAAGGCTCCACTGTTCTTCATAGGATTTTCATGGCCAACTTTTTGGGAAATAGGTGGCCAGGTCCTTCTTCCTATAACGTCTAGTCTGGAAGCTCCACTGAAACCTGTCTACCATGGGTAACTCTGCTGGTATTTGAAATACTCAGGGCATAGCTTTCAGCATCATAACAACACGTAGGCACTACTGTATCACAACACACAGATGGGTGGTGTGGTTCCCTGACCAGAAACGAACCCTGACAACGGTGGTGAGAGTGCTGAATTTTAACACTACACCACCAGGGCTGGCTGGGCCTGTCTCTATCTACTACTGCTAAGCTAACGTGCACTGCCACATTCATTTTCAAATATTATCATATTTAGTCACATAACATTATCATGAGTTAGGTTTCATTAACTCCACCACACAGATAAAGAAATAACATGCTTTAGAAACCTACTCAGTGCCCTTTTCTTCTATCTCCATATCACTCTCTTAATTCCCAAATACTCTGAGTTCCCTCCTCTACCAAATCATCAATACCACACTCTCCAAGACAGTGTGCCCTTAATCCCTAAATCCAGTCCTTATTCTCCATGACATCTCTTTAGCACCTGATACTATTAACAAGGTTCCCTTTCTTAGAACAGCTTTCCCTTTGGCTTCTAAGGCTAGACTACTTCAGTTCTCTTAGCCTTTGTTCTTTCTTTGGCTCCTCCTCTGAGTTTCTCAGAATTTTTGTGAAGGATGAGTAAGCTAATGTTTCTGGAGAGTGTCAGCATAAAGCACATATATTCAATAAAAGGTAGGCTTTTAAAATTTAATCTAAAAAGAAGAGCTACCACTTTTAAGCACAGTGCCAGTTAGTCTACTAGATGATACACACACACACACACACACACACACACACACACACGCACACTATTCCATTTATCCTAACAGCACCATAAAACTGAAGTTCAGACTGTTGACAAATTAACCTGTATTAGAAACCTGGCTGCAGCACTTTCTAGTTTTATGATCCTGAGTAAGTCACTTAACTTCACTGAGTTTCTGCTTCCCCATCTGTGTAATCTTACAATGTTCTTGTGAGACTTAAACAAAGCACAAGATATAAAACACACAGCACATGGTACATAATCAGTAAATGTTAACTCCCTCCTCTTGTTACTTCCAAGTGAATACATTAGTTTCCTCTCTTTTCCTTGTGTGGATTTCCAAAAACTAAGTCCTTGGTCCCTTGACCTTCTTTCTTTATACTCTATACTACATTTTATCATACTTGTGAACCCAACTCCTCCAGAAAGATGGTTTTGAATTATCTGTGTCCATTCCTAGGTGTCCAGGCCGACATCTAAGTTTTGCTAGTCATTTCTACTTGAGAATCCCACTGCCTACCATATTAAACCGATCCTTTTCCTCACAAAATGAAGAATGGAAAGCAAAACACTAGGGTGGAATAAAATATTACAAAGGCAGAATTGATAGGATGGATGACAAAGAAGCTAACTTCACAGTTTCAAGGTTCTCTGCGAAAATTCAAAAAATTGAGAAGATTCTCATAGATCATGTCCAAAATTTTCTCCCCTTTCTCTCTTCTCGCATTCGTCAGACAAGAAACTCTAATCCTTCTATTTCCTGACCTACAAAGCCCAAAATGTTCTCATACATTTGAATTTCCTCACATTTAAATGCCCCATTCATCTAAAATCTAACTATATACTATCTTCTATCACCAATTTTCATAAATTTATATCTTATTTTCCTAACTATACTGTAAGTTCTTTAAGGCCAACAACCACCTCCTATACTTTTATTAGTATTCTTCATAATGTTGATTGACTACAGTTATGAAGACATGATCAAGAACTCAGAAATCATAAATTTTCAGATTTTCTTCTGACATGGAAGAAAAAGCTTTTCAAATCAAAAGCTTGGAGAACCTTCCACAGATAGGGGAAGTGTGACAAAGTAAATTTTCTATCTTTTGCCAAAGGTTTTAGTCTTGTCTTTAAACAGAAAAAAAAAAAATCCTTTAACATAAATTTCCTTAGCCATGCTAATACTTTATAAATTATTTCCAAGAACTGTGCAAACTTTTCTTCAAAAATTACTTATATTTTCTAACATGCTTACTAGTCATTATATTAATTTCTGTTGGAAAGCAATTATTGAAACCATAAGTCTCAAAAACTGTATAACTTATGTGCTATTAAATATTAAATAAATTTTAAAAATTTCAAATCCAAATGAAAAAAAAACAATTTATCTAAAGCTTATTAAAAGAAATGGCTTTCTTCTTTGGTTGAATATATTACATTTCAAATTTGGGAAATTTTTATTAAATTACATTTTCTTTACTGAGATCAAAACAGAACTGCCGAGCAAGGAAACTGATTTTGATTGCTTATTTTACCTGAGTAGCTTTATCTTTCATGCACGAAGGGTAATGAACATGAGGATCCCGCGGCCACTGTCCTGTGAGGTAAGGTCCCGTTATCGTATCCAAGGAAGAGGTTCGCCTGATCGTACTAGAGGTTCGAACTTGCTGAGATTTTGGCCTGTCCACTACAAAGAGTGAAAAAGAATTAGATTAGTTGGTAACAAAGCAAACTTTAAAACTATCTAAACTTCATAGTTTGTAGAACATCACCCTGTCAATTTTCCCTATATTTACCCTAACTGCCCTGTTACATGATCTGATGAAATTTACAGACTGTCTTCAAAGGAAAATACATTCACATATTAAATCTTGCATACACTTTCAGGGCAGGCGCAGACTCTATGAAACCCATCCATGGTTATTCATTGTCTTTAACTTACAGCCCCTATTTTTCACAATTTGGCTCCCATACACCTCAATGTTTAATGTCTTGCCACTCCTTCATAAGCCCATGCTAACTACTAAGTGCCACATTAATTGCAGTTTCCAAAATGTAAAACACTCCCTTCTCCACCCCTATGTTCCATTATTTCCTGAGCCCAGCTCTCCTTTCTTGTTCACTTGACAAACCCTTATCTTCAAGACCAGCTCGGGTGTCACACTGCCTCTATGCAACCTTTCCAAATACCATTCTTTCTCTATCTCTATCATTCTCTGTTTAAAATATATGTGCCCTCCTCTGCTTGCACAGAACCCTAAGTTTGTCTCCCTCCCCCACCTGAGCATAAGTTTAGTCCCTACAGACTGAAAAGGAGTTAATGCTCAATACTAATTTAACAAATGTATTCACAGTGGCACAAAAATAATGGTTATCAAGAACCCTGTATTTTAACTCAACTTCCTCATTTATGGATGAAGAATTTGAAGCCCAGAGGGATAAAACAGGACTGCTAACAGATGACAGAGGTAAAAAAGGTACTAAGATCTCCACACACGTTTCAATCTACTAAAACAATCTACCTCTCCTCTCCATATGGATAACACAGGTACCTCTGTTGAAAATTGAAGTGATCATACTGAACTCCTTTTCATATATACATTTATGATATAAATCATATATACAAGATTTTTCATATATACATCCCAAATAATTTACTACTGACGTACATTCTATAATAAAATCCAGTGGATTATAAACTCCAAGGTTCAGAGTCTTATTCAGAGGTATATCTCACATCAAACAAAACGCCTTGCGTATTACAGAACAAGCAACATTTGTTATTGAATGCTGTCTTTTAGCTATCTTCCTGAAACCAGAATAGATAGTTTTATCAGAAAACGCAGTATACTCTGATGTTTTTGCATTATTTATGTATCTTAACAACTGCAGTTTTGATTTCTTCTTTGACCCTAGAGTGTTAGAGAAGATCTAAAAATTACCAAATTTCCTCCCTATCTTCATTAGTTAGCTCTAATTTTACTTCACTGTAGGCAGAGAATCAAGGATGACCTATTTCTACCCTTTGGAATTACCTGAAATTTTCTTTGTGACCAAAAACATGGTCAATTTTTATAAACATTTCATGAGTCTTGGAGGCGATATATTTTCTGTTTTCAGAATACATAGTTCTTTATTTGTCTTGTACATTGACTGAAATAAAGATACAGAATATAGGAATAATATAATTATCAGCTTCATCTGTCAGAGATTTAGAGAAGTACTCTAAAATTTCTAAACCACTATTGAGATCTAACAATTCTCTTTATTTCTTGCAATTTTTTATCATTTATATTTTAGTTCTGTATGATTTGGTACATACTGATCCATGACATCATCATCACACCTTACATGCTTCACTATTATAATCTGTTCCATTTACTACTCTTTAGCTTTAAACTCTTGTCAAATTGAACATTATGATCCCCTTTTGCTTTCCTTCTTTTATAATTTGCCTGGTATGCTTATTCTTTCATTTCAATTTCTCTGAATCATTCTGCTTATGTGTGCCTCTTGTATACAGTAGATAATTAGGCTTTTTGGAAAAAACTTTGTAGTGAGCCTTCTTGTAAGAGGTAAATTTATCCTACTTATGTTTCCTGTTGTAACAAATTTGATTTAACTTGTAACTTTTTTCCTCCTATTTTGCAATGCTTCCTTGCTACTTGTTTTCTATGTTTTACTGAAGCTATGTAGACTGTTTTTAGTTTGACCACTAGAAGTTATTTTTATTGATTATTTTAAATATTTTTTTCTGACTATAAAAGCAATAGCCACAAATTTTAGTAACTTTGGGAAACACAGAAAATTAACATGTCTCTCATAATCTGACTTATAACAACTTGTTTAAAATTTTTAAAAGTTACTTTACATTCCTTCCACCAGGAAGAAACAAAAGAAACAGATTATTCCTTGAAAAACAGAGCCAACATTTATAGCAATCCACCACTAAATTAAAGAAGGCCTACATAAAGGTCAGCTATAACCAGAAAATGAAAAGTCATCATAATGTGAAAACCAGTGCCTAAACTTAAATTGCTCCAAACTATTTAAAAAGTTGTATGCATCTACCTATAGCTACTAAAACTGGTAATTATAAAAACTGTTATGGTTAAATAAAAAACAGGGACCATTTTTATGTTTTAAAATGAGTCCCTTGATTTGTATAGTACAATATTCTAATCTATATTTACTAACTTTTATATTTTTAGGTACTGGATCTTTGCCTATCAATTTCAAAAGATCACAAGTTCTCCCCTTAGTGTCCACTCTCTGTGATTACTTTGTTAGAACTGTGGTCTTCAAGTTATTTTGACTAAGTACTCCTATTGGTAAATATGTAAGCATGTAGCAATATGTGTAGTTAGTTATTTATACATGAGATATGTACTATATGATAAATGTTATATTATTATAAAACATACAAAATAAATTGATATGCATGAAATAAAAAGTAAAATATATATGGAAAAAAACCTGAGAAGTTATGATGTTTTCTTCCTGTATCTCAATGGGTGGCCTTACTCACTGTGAAGACCACTGGGATAACGGACCTGAAATTGGGTGCTAAATGCAATCTATAGATTGGCCAGTTAGTTTGTCTAATTCTATAACTCTATTGCTTAACTGTGCTAAGACCGTACAGACAAGCACCACACATTACCAACACACACACACACACACAAAACTAAAAGAAAGAAAGAATAAGAGAATAAGTTAGGATAACACAATCCCATATCTTATTATAAAATTCACTCTACTCTCATGCTTAAAAAAATTAAAGTATATGAGGCAAATATACTTGAACCTGAAAGGTTATATTTCAAACATATACTTTAAAAGAAAGATTCTCACCATTGCTCACATCAGGAAAATTTCAAAGATGTGGAGTAGTTGGTAATTTCCAACTAAATTATTTGAAGGGTAAAAATTGAGAATGGGTTGAAAAATTGGCAAGGATAGTACTCTTCGAAGATACAACTAGCCATAATAACCCTACTTATCAAATATCACTAGGGCCTTAGATTTATCATAAACAGTGCAATTCTATTTCAACAAGATGACTTGTTCTTATTATCTAAACTATCATGGCAATGGGTTTTTAACTGCCTCAACATCTGTTTTGATTCAAATTTTTATTTATTTAATTTTTGGTATTATATCCTACCAATTCGGGTTTCACAATTTAGTGCAATAAGGAAAATCAACACTGGTTTTGCATTATTCAACACAATAAATTGTTCCTTATTTCTTGATTACAGTTGTGACTAGAACATGTATTTAGTTTTGAATTGAATGATCACAGTATTTTTCTGCTAATTGTTACAAAATTACCTCAATTCAAGTAGGTCAAACAAGAGGACACCTTATCAACTAGAAACTTACATTAATATAGTCAATCTTTGAATTAATTTACAAGAGCTTGAATAACAACAAAATTGCTAAAATATTCAATTATATATATGTAAAATATGAAAGAAAGTCAATTAAATAAATACTATCATTAAGCTAAACAGGGATCAGGAAAATAGTACCTTCATAAGTGGTAAAACCAAGTAATAATTATTACTAACTAAAACTTGCTGAATGTCTTCTATATGGAAAGCACTGTTTCATGTACCAAGGGGAATTACAAAAGAAGTTTCGGACTCTCCTCAAGGTGTTTACATTCTGGTTGGGGGAGATATGATATGTATAATTAGACTATAATACGAAGCAGTACATGTATGGCACATGCACATCAGTAAAGGATAGGAAGGCAAACGAGCCAAAAAATAGATGAGGCAGCAGACAGCAAGACTGATGCTCTCTAACTACACCAACGGGAACTTTGAAGGACTAGAAAGAGTCTTGCCATGCCACTTAGCAGTCTTACTTAAATATTTGAGGGTAAAACACAGAATAACTAAACGCAGGAAGAAAATACAAAAAAAACTCACATCTACTTCCAGTACTATCACATTGTTAGGACCAGAAGATGACTGCTCATAGCAGTTGTCTGTAAAAGGGCTTCCTCATTACATTCATCTATAGATTGTGCTTTCCCTCCTCCCTTCCCCCTGAATCAAGAGCCACACAGCAGCAGCAGCTGGTAGGCCTGTGGCCCGTCTCGGGTACCTACCGAGGACCATACAAAATAATTCTTACTCTCTAACAGCCAATTGGAAATTCAATTTTACAGTAATAATAGTAAAATAGGTTTAAAAACAAGAAGCTATATCACATAACTGTGAACCTGAATAGCAAACCAGGCATTGTTCTAAACAGGCAGAAAAAAGCTTAATATCTAATTCCCAGAGCAATATAATATGATGTTAAATTCATTCATTCCCAACAATAATTTTTACTTTAGTGGCAATGACTGAAGACTGACTGGTTAGTGAGTTTGAAAATCTGATGTTTTAAGAAGCTAATCTGCAGTGGAAAATTAAGAAAGCTAAGTGGAATTTCTCCAAGTCAAAAAAAAAAACAGTGAATGTTGGAAACTTTAAGAACTTCAGCCACAGTAATATGAAACAAGCCACCACACCTTCCAAACTAACCTTACCAAGTGGTAAGGAGAATGCAGTATTTTTAAGTGCATAAGATACCTATACAGAATGTAAACCAACACACGTAAATTAAAAAAAACTGTTCACATTCTTTTCTTAGACTTTAGCACACTCCAACCTTTTTCGCCCTATATTC